AAGAGATAAAAAGGCCACATAAACCAGAGACTCCATCAGCCTGAGACGAGAACTATACGGTGCCCAGCTACCACCAATGACAGCCCTGATAGGGAAAACAAGAGAGTCCCTGATAGAGCAGGAGAAAAGTGCGGAACAGAACTCAAATTCATGTAAAAAGACCAGACTTAATGGTCTGAGACTGCAGCAACTCCTGAAGACATGGCCCCTGGACACTCTTGTTAACCCAGAACTAAAACCATTCCCAAAGCCCACTCTTCAGACAAGATTAGACTGGACTATATAACATAAAATAACACTCATGAAGAGCGTGCTTCTTAGTTCAAGCAGATACATGGGACCAAATGGCTGGCTTCTATCTGGAAGCAGGATGAAAAGGCAGGAAGAGATAGGAGCTGGTTTGATGGACCCAGAAAACCCAGGGTGGAAAGGGGGAGTGTGAAGTCACATTACAAGGATTGCAACTAGTGTCACATAACAATATGGGTATAAATTTTTTTCTGAGAAATTAACTTCAGCTGTAAACTTTGACTTCAAGCACAATCTAAAAAAAGAAAATTAAGCAGAAAAAAAAAACCTCAATACCAAGGTAGGAAAGTGTTTAAGAGGATTGTTCTATCTCAATTACTCATTGATCTAGAATCTGAATCCTCTAGTCTGTTTACGCATACATTATGCACGACCAACATTAAAAAAAAAAAGCCCCCGTTGCCATCAAGTCAATTCTGACTCATAGTGACCCTACAGGACAGAGTAGAACTGCTCTATAGAGTTTCCAAGGAGCAGCTGTTGGATTCAAACCACTGACCTTTTGGTTAACAGCCCGAGTTCTTAACCACTGCACCACTAGGGCTCCCTCCGGCTTACCAGCACTAGAACATGTTATTTCTTTGCATGTAATTTGCAATAAAAATGATAAAAGTCGAATGTGGCTAAGATCTTACTATACTCTTTGTAAAAGAATCTCAAATTGGGATCACCAAGACTTTTCCATAATAGTAAATATTTTTAATGCATCACCTCAGATAATATTATTTAGAACTGCTAAATGTTCTCTTTGAAGTCAACTTACTATATAATATTAAAACAGTATCTCTAGCAATAAAGTTTCAAAATGAGATAGGTCTTGGATGGAAACTTTGATACTAAAGATGAAGGATTAATTTCTATATTCATTAATTTGAGAAAAGAATTTTTAGTGCCTAAAAAATGAGCACTAAGAAACCTACACTGTATACAGACATTACTGTAGTAATAAGCACATGTGCTTGTGTGTGTGCATCAGTCTCAGCAGACCATAGCAAGAAACATCAGCCTAGGGCATGCTGTGGGAATGCAGCTTTGAGAGACACCCCAGTTCCTCACAGGATAAGCACCCTGGTTGTTGATGACAGTATTCTGCCTGTCCAGGATGAGGTCCTGAACAAGTCCTTTAAGTGGGGACTTATCAAGACTTCTAACCTGCAACCACATCACCTTCAAATTTTGGCACAGTTGCAAAAACTTCTTTTATGTCACCAGCATCTTCTTGCTACACTGTCCACAGTTTATAGAATAGTAACTGGGTATCACACAAATGTAGTCTCTTTATAACTTCTGTAATGATAACCAGTTTAGGTGTAGGAAGGGCTGACCAGGCCCTAACTAAATATAGTGTAAGTACAGTGGATAGCTCTTTTAGCCTGCCCAGCATCTATTTCTTCACCTCAATTTTCCTTTGGGGAACTACCTTCTTTCATTCTATGGGGTCCTGGTGGGAATGTCAATCAAAGCCCCTGAAGCCATGGGATAGGTGCATGATTCTAGCTAAGGTAAACAGAGCACTAGGAATTTGATTCATGAACACATGACTAAGGATAGAAAATAGAGGAAATGAGATGTTTTGATGGCAGGGCTCTATAAGGACTGTTCCTTGGCTTCTGCAACTGAGATTCACAAAACTACTCTGGATCTTAGTTTCCTAAGGTTGTTGGACCAGCTTCTTCTTATTATGAGCGATCCCCTGTTCTGCTAATAAATCTTGTTTTGCTTAAGGTAGCCCAAGTGAGTTTCTACTGCTTGTGATCAAAGAACTCCACCTGATCCATTCACTAATGTCACTTATAGCTGTTTCCTAACACTGGAAAGCTGTAGGCTTTAACACCTTAATATGCTTCCTGTGGATTATATAAAACAGTTTTTAGAACAAAATTCTAACATTTGTACCAAGGGTGTTTGAACAACTCTGAGTCAACTTCAAATTTCTTTTCATCCTAAAAAAAGTACAGTATTTTTATGAGTGAATTAATGCATTTTTGCCAACAAAATAGTGACCAAAAACACATTAATAAACTGGCTTTAGTCTCCCCCTTCCAAACGTACTCCAAGTAAGAAAGAAACATACACACATAAAATTACTCTTTCCTTTCGTATGGACAAATAAGAGTGACAATTTTAATAAATACTTGTTTCTAATAGAGAGAGAGAAATCGTATCAGCCTGAAAACACTTTTCCCAATTCCTAGTCATCATCACACAAGACCACATTCTAAGGAAAACTGACTGGTGAGGCAGTTAAGTTTGTGCTTTCAACTATGAAGGCTTAAAATGCACTCAGTCTTTGATATTCTAATGAAAGCTAACCTACTCTCAGAAACAGCATAGGCACTGTTATGGTAGTCCAGCTCCTAAATGAAAATGCGGGCTGAGTTAGTCTTCTGTAATAACCTAGCTCTGCAACCTCTGAAAACAGGATCAAGAAGTATTTACATTATGTAAATTCAAGACTTTATCTTAGGATGAAATGTTACACAAGTCCTTAACCTCCTTTAAAATAAAGAATATTGAAATAAAATCTTTCAGTCACAACCAGTCAAGACTTTCATTCAGCAACGTTTCTTAAATATCAAATTTCTCTTCACAGATGCTATGTCCATTTTCTTCATAATCTTCTCTTGTTACCACCATATCTTCAAAATCATCATTCTCTGATATCAATTTTCCACCTTCCCAAGAATAAGTAATAGGGCTGAAAATAAAAAGTAAATGAATCCAGGTGATTTTATAGAACTGAAATGCCTGAAACATGAATTAGTAACTAAAACTTGGCAATCTCTACTCAACTAGATTTAACAAAAAATCATTAAAGGTCTGGAAATAACTCTATGTTTGACACAGGCAGAGAAAACTCAAAGGAAAAAGAAATTTGGTCACCACTACAAAATAGTTAAGCATTCTTTTTTTCCCTATGCACTGAATTTATGAACCCTATATTTCTAATAAAAAAAAAATACAACCAAAAGAACAAAAGATGCCTCAAAGTAAAAACACTGCCATAACTGAGCCTAAATTTTTTATGTGGCAAAGATATGTCATTTTTATTAATCCTCACAGCAACACATGAGTAAACTATTATAACTCTCATCTTACAGATTTGGAATATGAGGTTCAGACAGTTAAGTATGGAACTAGAATTTAACGTAGAATTGTTTTCACAGTCTCTGCTTTGGCCTTTGTTGCCTCTAGTATGTGAAACATTTAGAAAAGATAAAACTAGTCCACTCCGAATCATGGTGACCCCATGTGTGTCAGAGGAGAACTGTACTCCATAGGGTTTTCAATGGCTGATTTTTCAAAAGTAAATCACCAGGCCTTTCTTCCAAGGTACCTCTGGTGGACTCAAACCTCTAACCTTTCAGTTAGCACCTGAGCATGTTAACCACTTGCACTGCCCATGGACTCCCTTGGTGGTATTAGTCTCCCTCAAATCTCTTATTCTTTGTTGTCTGTTCACTTTTTTCATACATAAATTCCTGTTTGCTTGTCAGTGAATGTAAATTCTAATTATATAGTGCCTTGTCTCTTGAGCGGGATGGGACTGGGGAGCTCAGGAAAGAGATGTGCACAGTTCCATAGGGCCCTGCCTTGTCAAAATTTTATTAAGCGCTTGGCTTTAGCTAGAGTGCAGTGCCACAATCAGCTGCTCCCTGAAAAAAACAAAACAAACAAAAAAAAACTTTGATGCCTTTAAACTAAAAAACCAAACCCACTGCCACTGAGTGGATTCTGACTCATAGCAACTCTATAGGACATAGTAGAACTGCCCCATAGGGTTTCAAAGGAGCAGCTGGTGGACTCAAATTGCTGACCTTTTGGTTAGCTGCTGAACTCTTAACACTGTACCCCCTTGTGCTCCCTGATGCCTTTAGGAGATATGAAATTACTTCATGTTCTATTCTGTTTCTCCAACCCTTACACTTCAAGCTCACTGACTGTTGAGCCTCAATACCAAGGAAGTGAGTAGGCACCAAAACCTGCTGCCGTCAAGTTAATTGCGACTCATAGCAACCCTATTGGACAGGGTAGAACTGCCCCATAGGGTTTTCAAGGAGCGGCTGGTGGATTTGAACTGCTGACCTTTTGGTTAGCAGCCGAACTCGTAACCACTAAGCTACCAGAGCTCCATGAGTAGGCACAGCTGTTTCCAATTCAAGTCATGGATCACCCATGATCTCCTGCTGAGATTAAAACATCTCTGGAATTGTTCTTACCATTTTGGTTGTTTCCTCCTGCCCTAATTTGGGATATGGATTTTCTTTTTCTTGTTTCTTTAAAACATAATCTCATTTGTTTTCTAATATTTAGAAATTCCTCCAGATTTGTTTCATCCATGGTACCCTTTTTGTTTCCTAGAATCTTTATTTACAAAGGAAGAATACTGAACAGTATTTACAGCTCTAAAATTCTTATTTTATTTGTTTACCTCTAAAGTAGAAATGATGATATCTGCTTTTTCTCATAAAATAGGATAGTGAGGTAGATATCAAACAGTTTTGAATTTTTTAAAAAAGACTGAGTGAAAAAGTTCATTTAAAAATCTTGAGAATTAAAAAAATTCCAAAACAACTTAGGAAATGACATATCTTAATGGTTCAATCCTTAAATTTATATAATTGATAGAAATCTAGAAATGACATGTCTCAGATAAATAGACAATAACCTGATTGCTTTGACTGTAAAAAATCTCTTAGGAACGGGGACTGAATTACTATATGGAAGACATCTTATGTTAGTTGAGCACCAATTAGGTACCAACCATTTTGGCTGGCATTTTACATACTTCATCCTACTTAATTCACTGAAATGTAAGGTTTATCATTTACATTTTACAGAAAAGGAAAATGAGGATCCAACAGGTGACGTAAACCGCCAACATGGTAGAACCAGGCTTTAAACTCAAGTCTGCCTATAGACCACCTTATCTACTGAAAGACTTCCATGTTTTGTGTCTGTATAAGCTAATACTTACTTTTCTGGCAGCACAACAGAAACATCATAATCCGTTGGAGTGAGACATCGAACTTCTGAGTAAACCCGATCCCTATATCCAGGGAAAAGGGAATTTCCTCCTGTCAAAACAATGTTCTTAAAAAAATGCGGCTGCATTTCTTTAAAAGAAAAAACAGGAAAGGAAGAAAAAAGGCATTAGAAAATCTGTTTACTTATTCTTCTGGAAAGATGGGGATGGGGAATTAAATAAGCAGCAATTGGAGATGACAGTTACTAGTTGGGAAACTATGATTTTTGAAGTCTACTCTAAGATTTTGTAATGAGGTATAGTTTACACAAACAGACACATTAATTAAGGTGAAATATGACCTCATAGATATCTACCTTTAAAAGAAAAAGCTGAAGGGGAGGGAACAGAATTCTACCTACTTATACATACATGCAAGTTATATATAAATGAGTAACTTTCTAGTAGCAGACATTTGATAATTATAATCATTCTTTCCTGAAATGCAAAGTGTCTTGTTGTAGGATGAAAAGGAGGCCCTCTCTGTGAAAGTTTAACTTAGGAGACCAAATATCAACGTTATCTCACTGATACAGACATATTTATTGTGTAATACTTAAATGTGATAGTAAGAAACACTCATAATCTATAATAATATTTAAATTTAATATTCACACACTCGTAAAGTTACATGATGGCAAACATTAAGTGCCATCAGGTTGGCCAGTTTTAAAAGCCTACTAAGCACCTGGTGGCGCAGTGGTTAAGAGGTCGGCTGCTAACCAAAAGGTCGGCAGTTCAAATCCAGTAGCCACTCCTTGGAAACCCTATAGGGCAGTTCTACTCCATCCTATAGGGTTGCCATGAGTCGGAATCAATTCCAAGGTAATGGGTAATGGTAATGGTAAGCACCACTGGGAAGCCCATCAGGAATTAATTGGTACTGAGCATCCCACCAGAAGTCCTGGTAGTGCAGTGCTTTAAGAGCTCAGCTGCTAACCAAAAGGTCGGCAGTTCAAACACACTAGCCACTCCTTGGAAAACCTACAGGGCAGTTCTACTCTGTCCTACAGGGTCACTATGAGTCGGAATCAAGTCAACTCAATGGCCACAGGTTTGGTTTTTGTTTGATTTGGTCATCCCACCATGCTTCTGTTAACCAAAACAAGGACAGAGTTCTCCTCATATTGACACTGAGTCTCAAGACATGACATTAAGTTAAAGCAGTATAGTATAAAATGTTATATACATCATGATTACAACTTCATATAAAATGTGAATTAATATGAAAATACTTGTGAAAAAATTATGTGAAGGTAATGGCATTATATGAGTTTCCTTTTCATCTTTTTTTTAAAAATGAGAGGAAAGCACATTGCTTGTGTTATATTTTCTCCAATGCCCAGACTGTTCTTTGTGAACTAGGAAGACACTTTCAAGATACGAAAGTACCCTGACACTCTAGAACATCAGTTAGTAAAAGTATGCTTCAGAAGAACCCAAAAATCACTATTAAATTGTTAAATTATAAATTTCTATTCTGTTCAAATTTTGGTTACATTAAAACTTTTCTAAAATAGACATGCAAGCTAATACTCATGGAGAAACGAATTTCTTCAAGTTTAAATGGATCATAATGACTTGTCCTATGTCATATTTGTAATCTGGGACCAATAAAGTAAGAATCTGTAAAGTGTACAATAGGATCTCAAAATCTCTGTGAATGAAACAGACTTGCATTTGCCTGAAATTACGTAGAAGAAACAGATTATTTCTCCAAGGTCCTTAGAGCTCATGATTTTTTTAAAAAACATCATTACTCCTCAATATTTTACTCTAAGTATTTACATACCTTCAGGTAAGTTTTGAATTGAACATACAATAGCTTCTGGGATTCCCATTTCTTGAATGCCTATATCAGAAGGATTAAAGAGTATTTCTGGAACAGCAAATCTCTCATTGGCTAGGCGAAGAATTTGTTCCCCAGATTTATATTTTCCACTTAACACCATCTCTTCCCTTGGCTTAAAGAAAAATTAGATAAAAAGTTTAAGCTATATTTATCTAGCTCACATGACTAATAGTAATTAGCAAAAGATAATACTAATATATTAACATGTTCTTGAAAGTTTCAAGATTCTCAAAAGTTAGAAAAATGTGGTCTCTCTCCTGTTGCCTAACCCACACAAATAAATAATTATTGACTCTAATAAGGCTATTTCCCAAAGGATAATCTGGTTTTATTCCATATACTTTAAATCAGAGAGAATGAAGGTAAAAGAGAGAGAGAACTTTATAATATACCTACAATTATAGGGAACACAGAACATACTCTAAATAAAAATATTTACTATATGTCTTGTGTTCTTACCTCTATCTACTTTCACTCCCCAATGTTAGATGTTTAGTGGACATTGTGGCTCTGTTCTATTAGGATTCCCTCTTTTCCTTGTGTAAAAATCTCACAACTTTAAATTTCTTTAGTATTTATTCAATCTCTATTCAAAAATTCAGTTTCCAAATAACTTATGCAAATACACAGACTTTATTCTTGAATGCTGTTGTTGTTTGATGCCGTGGAGTCAGCTCCGACTCATAGAATCTTATGTATAACAGAACAAAACGTTACCCGGTCCAGTACCTTGCAATCTGTCCTCTGTATGAGGCCCGTGTAATAACAAACAAATACTTTCAACAACCATCACTCACATTCTCTTATTACTTATCTTGTGCTAACCCAACCCATTCTCTAAGCTTTGTTTCTGTAGGAGCCAGAAAAAATAATCTCTTTCCACAGTATTCTACATCATGAAAATAATGGTCTCTTTTACAGAGAATCATCAGCTCCTCTAGTCTAGTTTCAAATCTGGACATTCATTCCATTTGTTTTCTACCTGCAGTTTTATTCCCATAACAGAGTAAATCCCAATTCTTTTTCTGACCCAAAAACAAACCTGCTGCCATCGATTCAATTTAATCCTGACTCACAGCGATCCTACAGGACAGAGTAGAACTGCCCATAGGTTTCCAAGGAGTGGCTGGTGGATTCAAACTGCCAGCCTTTTGGTTAGCAGCTGAGCTCTTAACCACTACACCAGTAGGGCTCCCAATCTTTTTTAAGTATAAAATATTTAAAATAGATGAAAAAATATCAATAATTAATTGTGAAACAGTAATGTATATAGAGTATTACAGATTCCTTAATATGAATCAGTCCCCTACTCTCTGTTCAGGCCTCCACTTTCTCAGAGAGGCTTTTCCTGATGCCCAAACAAAAGGCAGGTCCCTCCATTATTCTTTAATATCACCCTAAATTACCCTTTATAATCTATATTGGTCACCATCACAGATCAAGTACTTTGCAGAGTAACCTGGTTCATAGTAAATATCCAATAATTCTTGATAAGGGCATTCAAGCCAATGGAGTTCTTTTCATTGTACTAGGCATTTTACATACATTATCCCACTGAACTCTCACACAAGCCTGTAAGATAAGCATACTTTACTTTTATTATGATGTAACTGAGGCTCAGCAAGGTTCCATGACTTGCCCAAGGTCATTCATCTAATAACCCAAAGACATACAAATATTTCTTCCACTACATTGCCACTCTTGACCTGGATATGAATGATTCAGATTCTATCTTTTGGGAATTCCATGTCCAAAATATTATTTTTTAAATAAAAATTCCCTAAAAATTACACAATGTTCACAACAGCCTAGGAAGAACAAGAAAAATATAAATCACATTTAACTCAATTAAATTACTGCTATAATGATAAAGAGAAAAATATTATTCCTTTACAGTTGAAGTATTTTTCCTTCTCAGGCAGAATGGAAAGTATTTCCTATAAATTAACAAATACATAAAAAACTGCTATTAGCTTGGCTTAAGCAACATAACTCATTTTGTCAACCACCAAAACAGCCTGAGACAGATGCAGACTCAAAGAATTTCAGTCGACAAAACATTAGAGGTTACCTAATCTATACTTCTGATTTTATCGAAGAAGATCATGTGCCTTACCCAGGATCAAATATTAACTAGGGGAAGGAATCAGGATTAGATACCCTTGTTGAATGTTAGCAATAAAGCCATTAATTGTTAATAATATGTAATCCAGTACCACAAGTAGTTTCTGTTTTTAAAAGTATAATCCCAAAAAGATTTTTGTTTTAAACAAACGAATGAATTTATAAGGGTTGCTAGGAGTTGCCATTTCAGTCAACATAGGCCGTGATTATTTCACAGCCTTCATACACTGAGGTCCAATACCATCAAAGAAATTATCAGTTTAAATTACAATGGCTCTGAAGACAGTGGTAATCATTAATTAAGAGGTAATTTTCTCACGTAGGTCAGACAAGTTGCATTATATTTTAGTAGGTATCCTCTTTCTGATAAGAGATAAAACTAAAGTTTCTATCAGTTGTAATCAGTAACAATATTATAGACCTTGTTGTTGTTACTGTTGCTATCATTAGCACTAGAAAAATCAAGGTTACAACATTGACCAAAGTATTTAAAAAGTATGAATAAATAACATCAAAGTCCAAATTTTAGTAATTATCTTAACTACAAAGGCTCTCAAATAAGGCTAAATATAATTCCTTTTCATTTTATGTAGTACTGCTTTTCTAATTTCACAAATATTTATCAGCTCTTATCTCAGTTGTTGTATGTGAAAACATTTTAATCAACAAAAACAAGTTAATCAAGTATTAAAGAAACTCAAAACAATTATGTTTTAGAATTCTACAATGTACAAAATATAACTTTTTACATCTTAAAAAATTAATATATATGCATGATTTAACATGGATGTGGATACAGTGTAAATTTTAACATTAATTGACAAAATAAAGATTAAACCATTCTTTTCAAAATAAACATTAGATATAATATTCCATGATCTGACGAGAGTTCAGCCCAACTGACTCTGCCCACTCACTTGATATTAAAGTGCGTGTTATATAGGAGAATCAGTAACCAGGAGTCTATGCTGAGTTAGTGAAGCACAGTCCGTAACCACATTCTGTTCACAAGGTCAAAGACTAATAAAAGAGAATAGCTGCAAACAATCTTAGGTGGCTTCTGCTTTATTTCTCCAAAGACAATGGTGAGTAAAACATGGTCAGCTGGGGGAACATCCACACCTCATCATGTAAGGTGCTCGTTTGAGAAACTGGTTTATGATTGGCAAGGAAGAAACTGGCAAATTAGAACACAATTAACAACACAGTATTTTATAATATGCATATATCACAATGTCCAATAAACTGGAACGAAACAGGAGAGAAAGACTGGTGATTTCCAAATCTAGACGACCAACTAATCATGTGGGAGAGATTTTCCTTTCCTTATATTTTTAAGTGGAGGCTACCCCAGGCCCTGTTTCAAACTCAGTGACTCAGCATTTCCAGTGACAGGAAAAGAGAATATGGATTTTTTCTTTTAAGTGTCCCAGGTGATTCTAATGATCAGCCAGATTTGAGAAGTTTGGGAATCACTGAGGCTTTACTCAGGGCCCATCCCTGTAGAATTACGGATTACTTTACCACCATCCATCAGTTTGTTATACTGCAGTGGTTTGCATGTTGCTATGACACTGGAAGTTATGCCACCAGTATTTCAATACCAGCAGGGCCACCTATGGTGTACAGGTTTCAGTGAAGCTTTCACGCTAAGGTGACTAGGAAGAAAGGCCTGGTGATCTACTTCTGAAAATTAGCCAATAAAAACCCTATACATCATAACAGAATATTGTCCTAAATAGTATTGGAAAATGAGCCCCCCTAGGTTGGAAGGCACTCAAAATACAGTGGTCCCAACAATGGACTTGAGCATAGCAACGATCATAAATATGGCGCAGGACTGGACAACATTTCATTCTGTTCTACGTGGGGTCGCCATGAGTCAGGGCTGACTCTATAGCAACTAACGACAACAACAACATTACCACTATTAACTTTATACACACAGTGCTATAAATTTTCCACTTGGTGTTTTGTATCACTGGAGAGTATTTTATGAGGATGATCAAACATGCCTAATGAGAAAGAGGTTGCTATCTAAAATGTTAGGGGCAGTTTTCCTTGTCTTGTAAAGCAGGAAAAAAATATGCCTTCCATATACTAACTAGGATTTGGGCTTCCACAGTCTCTCCCCCAGACTCATGCCTAGACAACCTAATTCCATAGTCTTGTCCCAGTCTCCACTTCTGAAAACCAGCCTACGTCTTTCCACAGAATTTGTTTCTAAGCACATTACAGGATGATTTCAATTTCCTAAGGCCCTAAGTAGCCGCGTCTGAATTCTGATTTGTATACCTCTCAATAATCTGGCCAATAATTTTTTTTTTTAATCTCAAGCATATAAAAAAAGTATAGATAATTATATAAAAACTATGTATCCACCAACCAGTTTAATACAACTTTACAGATAAACACTCCTTCCCATTTTCCTTTTTATCGCTCACATGCATAGTTTTACACTTCTACTTCATATGTATTCCTAAACAACATAAATCACTGTTCTGCACAGAACTAAAACTGTACATATCCTCTAAAGCTTCCTTTTCCATCAACGATTATGTCTATGAGATTCATCCATGCTGATGATGTAGCTCTAGTTCAATTTCACTGCTACTTATTATTTTATCCTGTTGTGCTCCATAGGGTTTTCAATGGCTCATTTTCAGAAGTAGATTGCCAGGCCCTTTTTCCTACTCTGTCTTAATCCAGAAGCGCCACTGAAACTGGTCGACCATGGGTGACCTTGCTGTATTTGAAATATAGGTGGCATACCTTCCAGCATCATAGCAACGTGCAAGCAATTACTATATGACAAACTGACAGATGAGAAACCCTCAATGAGGTAGACTAACACAATAGCTGCAACAATGGACTGAAACATACCAACAATCATGAAGATGGCACAGGACCAGGTAGCATTTTGTCCTATTATACATGAGGTCGCCATGAGTCGGAGCCAACTCAATGGCAATTAACAACAACATAGTATTTTATAATATGAACACGTAACAATTTAGTCTTCTTCCATTAGTGGACATTTAGGCTGTCCCCAGTTTTTCACTATTTTAAAGTATACTACAGTGAATATTATCATAAATGTCTCCTCGTGCAAAGATAGTTAACTGACCAACAGTCCTTATCAACTGGGAACTACAAACACAAACTTCATATTTACTCAAACACAGAACTGATAACTGATCTGAGCTGATCAGAGATGAGAAATTATTTTGACATCCAAGATAAACTCCTTCCCAACACTTTGAAAGTGCATTGGATTTTACTCTTTTCAACTACAGTCTAATCGCATCAGACTAAACACAAGTAAAATTCCACCCTGAGCCAGCTATGTCAATAATTTCACAACAGGAAAATAGCCTATTTCTAACTGGATTTAAACTAATTCTTAACAGAAAGGTTAACCATAATATAGTGATACTGTTTAGCTCCAGATTTGTCCCACATGCTATCATTCAGCTAATAGTTCTTTTTCTAAGTAAGTCTGGTGAGAAATTAACCTAATTTATACACTTGTGCCCAGAGAAAACTGCTGTCAGGAAGGCAGTCGACAACAACTCTCCAACAGCCTGCCAATCCCAGCTGAACGTGAAATGATTTTCAAATCTGACTCAGGTGGTAACTTGAAGAAATACCATTAAAATTTGTTTAAAGTACCTTACAAAAGCCCTTTTTAATTGTACTGAAATCAGGCAAAACATAGTCTATCATTACTGTATTTTCTTCTCCTTTCAACCTGGAAAACAAAATAGAGACTTATGTAGTATTTTAACTATGTGTAACATCACCGAAGAATCAATGTTCCAATTCTTAAGATTACTGTTATACATACTTTGCAATATCCATATCTCTATAAAAATCCTGAGACACATAGCATACATCTTCTTTTACTTGATTAATCACGTGTGTTTCATCCATAACATGTAGCTGCCTAAACAGAACAAAAAAATTGTAAAATTTGAAATGGGAAAATTTTAAATACAGCTTGCAATTGCCATTTAAAATATATTTTTCTGAAATTAAAATTTCAGGTAAGTGGTTTTTTAAGATATTAAACTCCTGAATGTGTACATATTTTTAACTTTATGAAGTACTCTTGCTTTCATTATCTTATTTAATCCCAACATTATCCCTCTTATGGCAGGTGTTAGTTTGCCAGTAAGGAAACTGAAAACAGAGATGTTATGTTTCTTTCAAAATAATAAGGCTTATCTGACTAAAGAACCAACTATCCCCGCCCCCACCATTCTGAATACAATTTTTCTAAAATGCCTTAACTCTTTGCACTTCCTTTTCTGATTATCAAAGTATTATGAGTCAGCACACAGTACTTGGCACAGAGTAGATGTTTAATCAATACTCGATGAATGAATCAAAGAAAACACAGGTTCACTGCAGAAAGATGTCTAAAGAAATAAGCAAAAATGTGAGGCTGTTTTTTGAACATTTTTCTCTGCACTTAGATTTTACTACACACTACATTTTTTTTGTTTTAAACAAAACATTATCTCATGAACATTTTCTTATGCTATTTCATATTCTTTTAAAATAGTATTCTTACTGCCTTATAACAGTAAATCAGATGGATCTATTAGGATGTATTTACCAATTTTTCTAATGTTAGAAGATTAAAGAGGAAAGATACTGGTGTATTTAGAAACATGGGCTTTGGAGTCAGAGACCTAGGTTTGAGTCACAACTTAGTGTTACTTTACCTCTTTGGGACTTAATCTTTTCAACTCTGAAAAGGTAGTAAGACCACCTACTTATCAGAGCTGCAAGAATTATTCTTATTAACATGCAAAATGTTTAGCACAGTCCCCATACTTAATAAATAAAAAAACATTATTATTGCTTCTTTTTGCTTTTGTAGTAACAAACATCTTCATATCCTCCATATTTCATCTTCTCAAAAATGCACCAATATACCAATGAGAAGCAAAAATGCTTCTAATTAATAAACTGTGATATAATTCTAAGATACCATCAATGGGAAGATTCATCTCAATTTTAGATGTTAAAAATGTAGAAAAGTACAGTCCAGAACCAATGAAATATAGGTATCTTTATCCATACCTCTGATTCTCTCTTTATTATTAATTCATACCCTCGGACACAGAATATAAATATTTTTAGTTTCTTGGTATATTGCCAAATTGTCTACCAGAAAAGTCCTATCAAATTATGTGCCAATCAGCAGTGAATAAGAATGCCCATATCACAAATCTTCAAGAGCATCATCTTTTGAAAAAAAGTCTATTAATCTGGATTATAAAAATGGTACTTTAATTTGCATTTCCTCTATTAGGAAGTAAGTGCTATGAGGGAGAGGAATTCTTACCTTTTTGTTCAATGATGTATCACAATCTCCTAAATAAACATTCAATAAATATCTGCTGAACTGAATCTATGATTGCTACAGGTGTTTAACATTTTTTATGTCTGAGAATGAGCCATTTACATCCTTCGACTGCTTGTAACTCTCTAAGAATTATTACCTTTGTGCCACTGACCATCTGTTTTCTGAGAATTTTCTAACCATTTTATATTCCAAAAAACCCAAAGCCATTGCCAGTGAGTCCATTTCGACTCATAAGGAGCCTGCAGGACCGAGTAGAAGTGTCCCATAGGTTTCCAAGGAGCAGCTGGTGGATTCGAACGGCTGACCTTTTGGTTACCAGCCACGCTCTTAACCACTGTGCCACCATGTTATACTGGGTAGTGTTTTTCTTATGGATTGATAAGAGCACTTAACATATTGAAGATAACAACCCCGTGTCATATTTGTTTCAGATTTATTTCTCAGGTGTATGTATGCCTTAGTTTCGTTCACAAAGGTTTGTGATATACATAGGTTTAAAACATATCCTTTTCTATATCACTTGTTCTTCAGCTGTTTTTATGCTTAGCAACTCAGTTAAGTATTTTCTTCTTGTGGTTTTATTTTTACATTTAAATCTTAAATCCACTTGAATTCTAGTGTATGAGGCAAAGTAAAATTTTAATATGATTTTTCTCTTATCAGCCAACTTTCCATGTATCCTTTCCTAAATCATTATTTTCCTCCTTGTTGGTTTCTGATGTTTTCTTTAGCATATATGCTGTTTTTAGATATAATGTCTGATTCAGGATTATTCAGTCTTACCAATCTGTCAGTTAACTCTTATACTAGTAGGACTTTAACATAATTATTACAGTTTTAAAATGTTTTATCATTTACTAGGGAAAGTCTCCTTTCACTATTACTCTTTTTCAAAAATATTTTTAGCTTTTTGCCAGCTCGTTCTTCAAGTCGTATTTTAACAGCCTTGATTTTTTTAAATATATATATATATTTTCATTCAGCATGAAGGAGTGATTAAGTGTATAGGCCCTGGAACCAAACTGTCTAGGATTTGGCTATTGTCCACATCTGGCTCAATCTTCTCTCCGTTTCCAATTTGCTGCTTCTAATCTGACTAAGCTGGGGAGCTAAATGTCCAAGCTTGTTGAAACTAAGCCCACTTCTATTTGGTTCTGCAAAATACCATTCATGTAATCATAATATTGTACATGCTATTTATTAGGTTTTTATTTTTAGAGTTAATCTATAAGCAAGGCAAGAAAGATTCAACTATACTTAAAACAACATGTAAATGTTATAAACCTCAGTAACTCAAAAGTAGTGATACAACATTGTGCTTAATGAAAAGTCAGTCTTAAAAGGGTACACACTATATGAGTCCATTTCTATAACATTCTTGAAATGACATATAGCATAAAAAAAGAAACAAACCAAACCCAATGCCATCGAGTCAATTCCGACTCACAACAACCATATAGGACAGAGTAGAATCACCCCGTAGCACTTCCAAGGAGCAGCTAGTGGATTCGAACTGTCGACCTTTTGGTTAGCAGCCAAATACTTAACCACTGAGCCACCAGGGCCCTGACATATAGCAGGAGGGGAGCAAAGGGATATTGACAGTATCATATTGTCCAGAGTTACTGTGTCAAGAAATTGAGATTTAAAATCTATTTACAATTTTAAACACAACACGACTAAAAATAATAACATAAATTTAGGAGGCAGAAGAAGGGTAGGAGGCGGCTAAATGCACTAAATTCGCCATTTTTAGTGGACAGTCAACTAATATTGTTTAATTAAGAAACAGAAATATCAACATATTATTAAGACTCATACAAATAAAAAATAGATACAGCTCAAATATTATACTCTCTGTGGAGTGTAAATGAAGTGAGAGGCAGAAGGGGAGATTTATTTTCCTTTTAGACCCTGATTTCCTTATATGCATTTTGGATTTGTTTTACCATATACAATACTTATAATTTTAAAGTACTATGAATAAATTAACCACCTCCTCAAATACTGAAATGCTATATATTCGCAAAACACTACATATATTACAGTAACAGTTTAGAATTCAACCAAATTTAAATATTTTGCACTTGTTTTTAGTATCTAGAGTTTGGAACACTCTTTTTTGGTGATTAATACCACCTTATATGCTAGAAAGCTTTCCAATTTGAACACCATTAGTATTTAATATAGAATTATATCCTGGTGGTAGAACTAAAGGTAACAAATAATTTTAAATTACTTAAAAAAGTGCATCCTCAGAACCACCTCCTCCCAAAGACTCAAAGCTGAGATAAACTTTACCTGTAAGAGATGATCTCCTTTAGATGATTCGTTAAGAGCTTTCCACCCACATTTATCCTAAAAAAGGAGAATTCAAATCTGGTTCAGTTATGACATATTTTATTCAGTTTCATCCTAAGAAATAACATAAAAATTAAATGCAACTGACCGAATAATTGCTTCTTTTTTCTTTTTACTTCTACAATAAGGAACAATATGTGTAAAAGAATATCCACTATCTACAATGATGCAGCATAATTCAGAAGGATTATCTCGGAAATACCTATGTGCACTGAGAGCCCCAGCTACAAGAAAAAAAGAGAGAGAGAAAATTACATTCAATGAATGTATAACATTAATTTAAGCAATAAAGAAAGGTAGCAAACTAAGGCAAGCCCAGAGACAAAACTTTTCCCTTTATTCAAAAAAAGTTAAAGTAACAGCCATAACTGTCACAAAATATTTGCAGTGTTTAAACTTTAAAACATCACATGTGCGGTGAATATGATAAAAAGAATGAGAGATCAATTTTTAAGGGTAAACTTTCATTTCATAACTAATAATAATTATTTTAACAGCAGCTAATTTTTACTGAGCATTTCTTACATGCCAGGCTCTATTCTAATCTCTATATGTTGAGTGTGTGTGTTTTAATCTTCATAATCCCATTTTACAGATGAGGAAACTAAGGTAGAGAGAAGTTAAATATCATGTCCAAGATCACATAATTAGGACGTGGCGGGCCCAGAACTCCAATCTACACAGTGTGGCTCCACAGCAGGGTTTCTCAACCTCAGAACTACTGACATTTTGGTAGAGTAATTCTTTGTTGTGTACTGTCCTGTGCCCTGGAGGATATTTACCAGCATCCCTAGCCTCTACTCGCTAGATGCCAGTAATATTCTCCTTGTTAATACCACCAAAAATGTCTCCAGGCCATCACCAAATGTTCTCTGGGTGGCAAAACTACCCACGGTTGAGAATCACTGTTCTACAGACTGAGCTGTTTGTTAACCATTATATTATACTGTCGCTTATACAGACTTATTTTCTGCAAGCTAAATAACTGAACACTGGTTATTTTTCACAGAAGATGAAGTAAAATTTCATTGTACACAATCATGTAATGGAGTCCTAGCCTTTAATAAACTTGCTTTTAGATGATATGTCAGCAACAATAATCTTTCAGAGATTAGAAATATATGGCTAGTAACTTAATTAAGGAGAAATATTAATCAAAAGAGCCACTGAGAGGGGTCTAACTAGATAATCTCTAGTTTAAAATTCCACATTTTATTTCCTTCAAATCTGAAAGAATGCCACTCAGTATTCTAGGATTTTAAGTGTTTCTTTATCTCATTCATATCCATATTCAAGTAACTCAATTTCAATCAAAACTTTAACTCACCATTTACTCTTAATACTGCTTGGAACTGGTATTCTTCAAACAGGATTTCATTCATTGATTCTTGAATTGAAGTGAAGTTAAAATATGGCTCTGTGATGATAATATTAGTATCTAAAAAGTCAACCTATGGGAGAAAAAAGAATTTGTAACTTTGTAGTGATAATTATAAAAACTTGTTTTATATCCATAAACAAACTTATTTAATCATCACAGTAATCCTGTAAGTCTTTTTATTATCTCCATTTAAAAGATGAGCAAACTGAGACACAAAGGGTTGCATAAGTTACCAAGATTCACACAGGAAGTTAGTGACATGGCTAGGATTTGAACGCAGGGAGTCAGGTTACAGAATCCATACACTTGACTACTGTGCAATTTTACCTCCCATAATGGCAGCATTAATAAAATGGTTCTGTTAAATTGTTTAAAGGAAATTGTACAAAATTAATGAATACAATAATTACATGTATCAGAGCTGTTTTTTTCCCCAACCAAGCATTTTTTTTTAATTGTACTTTCGATAAAGGTTTACAGAACAAACTTGCTTCTCTTTAAACAATAAAAATATGGAACACTTCACAAATTTGCATGTCATCCTTGCACAGTGACCACGCTAATCTTCTCTGTATCATTCCAATTTTAGTATATGTGCTGCCGAGGCAAACGCTCAGAGCTGTTGTTTTTAAAAAGAAAAATATGAGAAGCTTTAGGATATTTAAAGTTTACATAATTCTCTCCCACACCTCTTTAGAAGCATTAAAACTTAAACATTCTCTCAGTACACCCACAGATACACTAGGCATTAAAGCACAAAATTCTCATTTTGTAATATTCACATGTTCAGATACACAGTCAAAAATATTTTATTATGAAAGTAAAAACGAGGTAGTGAATTGGTCTAATAAAATTATTAGAAATCTGAAGTACAATTTTAATCCTGAGTTGCATACAGACATTCTCTGCTCAACCTATCTTTCACTTTAGAAAAGAAATTCTGTTCACTTACATTTATTTAATATTTAGAAAATCGAAGCCAGCCACAGTAAATAATAGTGATTTAAATCTATACTAGAAATATATCTGTAAGTCTATACATCTTAAAACGTAAGTTCTCATTTCTCATTTGAATAAGACATGGAAATAGAATTTGAATACATACTCCAGTCTGTTACCTGATACATTTCTTTTCCAAAAAGGTAATCCCAAACTTGTCTTTGAACATCCCAGTTCACCAAGTAGCCCTAAAAAAAAAGTTACAAACTATCAAGAATATTTGAACAGTTTTTAAATATCAAAGATTAATACATTGCAAATCACTGATTTCTCTTTATGATTACTTTCTCCAGCCTAATGCTGTATGAATTCCAAACAATCATATTGGTGTGATTTTCCTCTTTTAAAGTTCAAAAATATTACAAATTATCAATAACTAAAATTTCAAGGGTTCAAAAGAAAGACCAATATGTACAGATACCTCTTTACACTTATTTTTTTACATTAATGCATTCACATCATTTGACTTTTAAAACAAATAAGTATGATTCAGTACCTGTAATCAGTAACTAAATGATGGTCATTTGCTTTTATTAAGTAGTTTAATTTCAATTTTTGGCTTTAATAAGACTTTAATTAAAATTTAAATCATTTTTTCTTAGACAGCTAAAAATATTCCCATATATACTTACTAAGTCTCATGTATCTTTAAATTTAGATCTTCAATGCTAGAAATGACATATAATTGGATTACCTTCTGAAAAGGAAGGATGTAAAAGAGTCCAGAAGGATCTTTTATTTCATCTATCTGGTTAGCAGTAAAGGTTTTAAGACGTGCTGTTTTTGACCTAAACTGACAGTTAGGAATAACCCTATAAACAAAGAAACAACAGAATTATTCCCAAAATACTTAGTTCCCAAAAATACATTTACTTAAATACGATTATTGATGCCAAGATTAGTATATTGGAAATCAGTGTTTCTCATTCTGTCTTCAAACAATAAAAAAAAAATATGCCTTATTTTTTTTTTTTTAAAGGTTCTAGTGTGTGCCAGGCTCTATGCTAGAACCTCTGTCTTTCTCAAATAATCCTCAAAAAATCTTAACCGGTGGGTATCTGAATCAACTTGACAGCAACTGGTTAGTTGTTGGTTATTGATTCCACCACTGCACAGCTGAGAGCTGGGACCCAGGTAAAGGTGCTGGTCTTTCTGGCTTTCAGGTGGAAATTCTTTCAACCACTGAAATTCTTTCAACCATTTTCAACAAGTTCAAAATTCTGGCCATAAAATTAATTTCCACGAAGCCAACGTTTTTCAGTCAGCAAGATGCTGCAGGGTACAGAAGTAAGTAGTTTTAAATATGATTCCTGCCCACCATGAGCTTACAATCTGGTTAGGAAGACAAACTACAGCCATTATCAATCATATAAACATACACACATATGAGAATATTGGGATAATTCTGTAAAAATGTTTTTTACCTACTTATTTCACCTACTATACTGTCAGCATTTTCTCTGTATGTTTAAGAATTCTTTGAGGACAAAATTTTAAGAAGTTGCCTTGTATTCAATCTTAGGGCTGTATAATTTAACCAACTTGCTATTCTTGATTACTTAACTTGCTTCCCTCCCCTCCCTTTTTTAATGTGCTACCTACACAACGTCTATAGAGAATATATAGCATCCTTTTACTTATTCTCATCAAGCACCTGTAATTAATTCCTTAGATAACAGATAAAAAACAGAACTGCTGCATTAAAGGATATAAACAATGATACACATTGCCAAAATATTTTCCCAAAAGATTGTACCAATCTACATTCCTGAACAGTTTGACTGTCTTCTTAAAAAAGAAAAGACCCTGGACACCCTTTTAGCTTAGTAATGAAGTCACTCCTGAGGTTCACCCGTCAGCCAAAGATTAGACAGGCCCATAACACAAAACGAGACTAAATGGGCACACCAGCCTGGGGCAGGCAAAGACAAGAAGGCAGGAAGGGACAGGAAAGCTGGTAATGGGGAACCCAAGGTCAAGAAGGGGAGAGTGCTGACATGTCGTGGGGTTGGCAACCATGTCCCAAACAATGTGTATTCATTCTTTAATGAGAAGCTAGTCTGTTCTATAAACCTTCACCTAAAGTACAATAAATAAATAAAAAAAAGAAGGAAAGGAGAGAGGGAGGAAGAAAACAAAACCTCTTTTGTGAATCCGATAGATGAAAAAGTGTATCCTTAAGTTTGCTTATTCTGTATTACAAACGTGTATATGAATATACATTTTATGAATGCCATTGGAGTATTTCTGCTTAACTGACCCTATCAAACAAGTCAGCCAGTAGGCACGTGGAAGGGACAAAGTACAGAATCTTCAAGGTCTCTAGACATTAAGAAAACGATTTCAGACTTTTCTGGGCCATGGCCCGTTTGAAGATCTGGTGAAATGTTATAATCGCGTCTCCAGGAAAATGCATGTACACCGAATATGCGGCCCACAATTTCCGACGGTTCATGAACTTTGTTTACAGCCCACTCTGTCAAGAAAGAAGTCTTGGCGGGAAATCCAGGGTGCACAAGAGGAGTGTGCTGCCGCATTATAGGCAGAGGAGCTAAGGTCACATAGCAATGTGTGTATAAATTTTTGTATGACAAACTGACTTGGACTGTAAACTTCCACTTAAAGCACAACTTAAATAAATACATAAGGAGTCTTGCACGGGAAATTCGGGGTGGAAAAGAGTGTGCTATCACAGTATAGGGAGAGCAACTAGGGTCACATAACAATGTATGTATAAATTTTTGCATGAGAGACTAACTTGAATTGTAAACTTTCACTTAAAGCACAACAATTCAAAAAAAGAAAGGAGTCTTGGATGGCGCAGTGGTTAAGAGCTTGGCTGCTAACGATAAAGGTCAGCAGTTCAAATCCACCAGCCGCTACTTGGAAGCTCTATGAGGCAGTTCTACCCTGCCCTATAGGGTCGCTGAGTCGCAATCAACTCAAGCGCACCGGGTTTGGCTTTTTCGTTTGCTGTCAAGAAAAGGGTCTCTAAAAGACTATTACTTAGACTATTTCCTGTTACGAACGGAAACACACATCCTCTTCCGGGGCCGCACAGACCAAAATTAAGAGCAAAAGCAATTCCAGTTCAAAGCATCCCTAACCACACAGCTCCAAGCCCAGTATCCCTTTGGCTCAGGTTACTGCCCCGCTGGGGCGTCTGCAATTCACTGATCTCCCATGTGGAACTACTAGGCGTATATGTCCTGCTCCTCGGTGAAAGCAAACACTTACGAGACATTTTCACGGCTGTAACCGATTTTGGCGTTGTAGGCTCCATTATCCAGCACTAAGGTGGTCATTGTAGCACAAACCACACAGCCCCCGCTACCGCTTTCCCTTGCCGACCCTTCAGTTCACCCTTTTTCCGGCACTCTACGGTTTGCCTGGGCGGAGCTTTAGGACGCGTTTCCGGTCTCCTTAGCAACGGAGGACGCCGGAAGCCAGAGACGGGAACTCGGTTCTGCGTGTCAGCGAGTGTCGTACTGTACTTCCAAGCCTAGCCTGAGAGTGGTCGCAAGATCCGAGAAGAGTGGAAACGGCTAAGTGCTTTTTGCCCATTGTGTATTTGTCCCTTACTTCGCAGATTCACTTGCTAATGCAACTTTCTTCTAACTCTTGTAGAGAGTCAGTTGTTTTTTTGGTCTTCAAATAGTATTGTTCAGACAGTGACATTCTTGGGGGAGTAGAGTGCAAAACCATACGCATTGTGAAATTGTATGTGAGATCTCTGCATTCTCATCCCTTGCCACTCCCTGTCCAACTGAAGGATCCAACCACCCTGAATTATACATGCACTGTTCTGTAAACCCGTCCTGCTTTCTTCCTCACACTTCCACTTCCACTCCCCTCTTTCCTGGATTATGCATACTTGTTCTCCAGGACAGAGTTCACGCATCTTCCTCACCTAAGAAGGCTTCTAGACATTTGACACGGTCCCTCCTCGTTCCCCCTCCTGGAAATAGGCACCTATCTTATGTGCTCCTGTAACGGCCCTTCCCTATAGGGTCAGTAAGTCAGAATCCACTGGCAGCGACAGGTTTGGTTTGGTATATCCCGTTCTATTCAAAAGTTTATTGAATGTCCAAAGTTAATTGTGTCCAAATTTACTCTATTTTCTCTAATGTAATGTTAAAATGATAAGATGACTTACTCCAAACATGTAAAGAATATTTTCTCAAACTTACCTTATAGACCAGCTACCATTTCATTTATTTCTCATCTTTTAAAATGTGCTCTTTCAATCCTGTGTCTCTCCTAATTATCAGCTGTTTCTCAGTTAGGCTTCTCTTCTTTTCTTCACTGCTTATGTACTTCTTCATCAAGATCATTCTTGACTCTGGCTTTAGCTATCATTAAATACTAATAAATCCGAAACCAGAATTTCCACCACCAACTGTAACTTGAATGTCTCCACCCATATATCCTGAAGAAAGTTTAAATGCAACAAATCTGAAACTGAATCTTATCTCCAATACTACTTGTTCCACTTATACTACTTATTTTAATTGATGGTGTCTCATCCACCTAGTGCCCTAAGCTGTTGTTATTAGGTGCTATCAAGTCGGTTCTGACTCATAGAAACCCTATGTACAACAGAACGAAACACTGCCCGTTCCTGCCCCTTCCTCATAATCTTTATTATGCTTGAGCCTATTGTTGCAGCCACTGTGTCAATGCATTTCGTTGAGGGTCTTCCTCTCTTTCGCTGACCCTCTACTTTACCAAGCATGAGGTCCTTCTCCAGGAACTGGTCCCTCCTGATAACATGTCCAAAGTATGTGAGATGAAGTTTCACCATCCTTGGCTGTAAGGAGCATTTTGGCTGTACTTCTTCCAAGACAGATTTGTTCATTCTTTTGGAAGTCCATAGTATATCCAATATTCTTCACCAACACCATAATTCAAAGACATCAATTCTTCTTTGGTCTTTTATTCTTTGTCCAGCTTTCAGATGCATATGAGGTGATTGAAAACACCATGGCTTGGGTCAGGTGCAACTTAGTCCTTAAACTGACACCTTTGGTTTTTAACACTTTAAAAGAGGTCTTTTGCAGGAAAATATTAGCCCAAGAGAGAGAAAAGGCCACGTAAACCAGAAACTCCATTAGCCTGAGACCAGAAGAACTAGATGGTGCCTGGCTACCACCAATGACCACCCTGACAAGGAACAAAATGGAGAGTCCCTGATGGAGCTGGAGAAAAGTGGGGTGAAGAACTCAAATTCTAGTAAAAAGCCCAGAATTAATGGTCTGACTGAGACTGGAGGGACTCCAGAAGATATGGCAACTGGACTGTCTGTTAGTCCAAAACTAAAACCATTCCTGAAGGCAACTCTTCGAACAAAGATTAAACTGGAGTATAAAACATAAAATGATACTCGTGAGGAGTGTGCTTATCTCAAGTAAATACATAAGACTAAATGGGCAGCTCCTGCCCAGAGGCAAGATAAGAAGGCTGAAAGGGACAGGAGCTGGTTGAATGGACACGGGAAATCCGGGGTGGAAAGGAGGAGTGTGCTGTCACAGTACAGGGAGAGCAACTAGGGTCACATAACAATATGAGTATAAATTTGTGTATGAAAAGCTGACTTCAACTGTAAACTTTCACTTAAAGCACAATTTAAAAAAAAGATCTTTTGC